AAACTGGCATGCAAGCCAGGGACTGTCTTGACTCTTCTTCAGATGATGGATGATGCATGTCCGGGCTGCCTTGAGCGGAAATCCACTGGGATGCCCCAATTAGCCTCTGTTTTGCAATTATTCTTGGAAAGCGCGCCAAGCCCCGGAAGACTGCTGATTCTTGATTTGCTGCAACAGAGAGTAGGAAAAGGGCATAGCAATGTATTTTCACAAATGTATGCATGCCTTGATCCTCGTGCTACCAATCACGCATATCGATGCATGATGACCGAGGAGTCGAATTGTGCAACTCAATATAGAATGAATGCACATATAAACACAACAAGACCTAACTCCATCATGGATAATACGGAGTGTCGGTGACTTGAAATTGAGACACGTTCCATTACTCGGAGTACAAAACGTACCTCGTTTCCCGTGCTCGGGCTAACCCCTATCCCAAGCACGATGCAATATGCATGATATGCATGAAATGCAACTAAGATACAACCTAGCATACACAATGCTATGAAATGGCATACACGATGCACGAGGTAACATGGCATACACAATGCGCTAACATACACCCTAGCATACGCAATGCTATGAAATGAAATGGCATACACAATGCACAAATGGACTTACACTAACACAAGTGGGCCTCAGCCGCACTCACATAAGAGGCCATCAGATGAAAATGAGACAACTCGAGATGAGTGCACACATGCACGCAAACCGAGGACCGACCCTAAGGCACCAAATGCCACTCTAACAAGACATGGCAAGGCATGAAATATGATATGCTAGCATGCAAATTTCAGAACTGAAATGCGACACAAAACAGCCCCGAATCATGACGATATAGCACCCGATGCATGAAATGGTCCCGAAATGCAAGATTAAGAACATGAAATGACTTGTAGCTACATCAAGCATGCATTATTTGCTTATGACATGTGAAGACAGATTCAAGGCAGCCCCAAAATAAGCATGTTTGTAGTTCTAAGCAAGGCCAAACAGCAAGAACAAATAGGGCAAAACTAGCATGCAAAAATGGCCCTAAATGTGAGATAAAGAAGTGAGTCACAGATGAAGACCTCAAACAGATTAGGGCCCTTCAACAATATTGGAGAGGAGCCCAAAATATGACCTTTTACAGTTTACAACAAACCCCAAAAACCAGCACAGTTATGGCTAAGATTTCATGCAAGAAAAGGGCCAAAAGATGGACAAAGAAGCAAGTAGTGGTTTCTGGCCTCAAACACAAAGGGGCCCTTCAACAATGTTGAAGAGGGGCAAAAAATAATGCACTTTACAGTTGATGACCGGACCCAAAACAGTATGCAAGAATGCTCAAAATGCTATGCAAAATAAGGCCAAAATGAGAGATATAACACAAAGTATATAAAGCATGCCCCAAACAGTGAAATACCCTTAATGAAACATGAAGAGGGGGTCAAAATAAGGTCATTTGTAGTTCGGACCTCAGCCCAAAAACAGAAGCACAATAGGTTAACAAATCATGCAAAAATATGGCCAAAAGAGAGATATAATGGCAAGTAGAAAATGGAAGCCTCAAACACTGATGATCCCTTCAACAATGTTGAAGAAGGGCTCAAAAGAAGCAACTTTACAGTTTATGACATGCCTCAAAACAGTTTATAAATAAGCCAAAAATACCACACAAGGAATAGGCATACAAGAGGGGTAACGAAGCAAGTGCAACAAGGAGGCCTCAAACAGTGAGAGGCCCTTAATGAAACATGAAAAATGGCTCAAAATAAGCCTAGTTCTAGTTAGGGTCGGAGCCCAAAACATCAAGCAAGAATGACTTATGTATTGAACAAAATATGGACCAAAAAGGGAGAAATGGAGCTTACCCTTGAAGACTTGTCTTTGGAAGCTCTTTGGCTTGAGTT